CTCGGGACCAGACAAAAGTATGCATTTAGAGGAGTTATGCATTTAGAGGAGATGCATTTAGAGGAGTCTCACTGTATATACTTTGGGGAGTAAGGAATGTAAAATTCTTTATTTTCAACCTGAAAAGTTCCCAGTATTCGATGCTTTTCTGCTACTGAAAAATTTCTCGACGCGTGTGCACAATCACATGATCTACGAATTCTACAAAAACCCCAATCTCCTGACGCCGAAAATAACAATCTTCTTTCACTGACGGGAAAGCAATGGACGCGTGGCCAATCTTAAATGCTGATGTTATCCAACTTATCCTCAATTATCTGAGTATCCGCGAATTACAGTCTGCACTTTTAGTCAATCGACTATGGTGCCGAGCTGCTCTTCCAATATATTGGAAAGCCCCGTTCAGTTATACGGCGAAAAGAAGTAGGGTCGCGACAAAGACCTACGAACTGTTCCTTGAACGTACCGTTTCAACGCGTTACGATTATCCATCGATGCTTAAAGAACTAAATTTCACAAACCTGCTGGCAACTTTAGACGAAAAGGATTGCTTCACAAAGATCAACAAAATACTCCAAATGCTATTGTTTCATGGCGTTCGTCTGGAATCTTTTATCATGGATAATTCTGGTACTAAACATGAAAGAGTGTATGCAAGTTGGGCAACACCGGTATACGCCCCCATATTCAGTTCGCTCTCTTTCGTCAAAATACGTACCCCTTTTCAGAAAACTAACGTCTTAAAGATGCTAGCAAAAAGTTGCACCACACTGGTACGTTTTTGTTGCGGTACACGTCTAATACGCTTTATAAACACGACGTCTCGTGAATAATTAATTGCTCACAATCACCTTTGAATTATCTCTTTTAGTTCCATCTCGACATGCATCTTCACGACAACTCTACCAGTCGCGTTGATGAATCGCTATGTTATCTGAACGAACTGATTTCTGCACAGACCTGTTTGTTGAGTCTTCGGCTGGTATTTCCAAACGGTTTGGGCAGAAAACTATTCCCAATACTTCAAGCTCACCCTGAACGTTTCAAACGTATTGAACTTGTAAAATGGAACTTTAGAGGTTGTGAATGGCCATGGCTGGCACAATGTCCGAATTTGATAGAATTTGCACTCACAAGCTATCTTGCACGGGATCTTGAGGACGTCCTGGGTACCAATCACGAACCACATCGTTTGCAAGCGTCGAAAAGTTCAAGGTTAACAACTGCGCACTGGCATCTTAAAGGAAATGATGAAAAGTTTTACTTTCACCCAGACGAGTCATCGCTAGAACCATACGACGACATACCTCCACCGGCGGAAAGCGAAAAGGGAAGCGCCTCACGGACGAGACCCAGACCAACGATCAGACCCAAATCAATGATGTTCCGCAGTTCTCACGATCTCAAAGGCAATTATTCGGCACTTATAGACAAGTTGTTGTCGAATATGCTTAGTGGGAATGGGAATATTAATATGTTTAGTGGGAATGGTAATATATACCGATCACTATGAACTGCTATGATTTGATTAGCTGACTGTCGTATAATAATAAGCGATTACACAAGCTTGCAATTACAACTATTAAAATTTGTTAAATAAAAGGGAAAGAAAAGCGTTCCATTTCTGTTAAAATTTTGTGATTGAATATTATGATTCTCCCGGACGAGCTTTAATGCGTGTAGTTCGTTTCGCATCTAATTGCTTAATTTCACAAGGAGAGACAAAGCCTTGAGATTACAAGGTCACTAACTGTATAGTAGATTTAATTGTTGATAGGAGAGGCCACGCGCCGCCGACGATAGCTAAATCCTAAATGTCGATTACTAATCGCTCTCTGCAGTAGTCGGCACGACATTTACATTATTCTTTTTTCCCTTTCTAATTCAATAAAAGCTTTTTCTAATGGATCTATTTCTTTAGGAACCACATAGCCATCACTATTATAAAATTCAGTCGTTAAATTCGGACAATTGATAATTTCAATCTTTTTTAATTGATTATGATAATAAATTAATTGGTTAAGTTGTTGGCAATTATTAACTATTACCAACATTTAAAGTAATGGCCAATCTTCTATTACTAATTTTCCAGTTACAGTATACAATAGTATCTTGTAGTTCTGGTGAAGGAGATTGTGGTCTAGTGTTTTTGCCTGTTGCATAACTATAACCTTCATCCTCTATATATATAGTTCTTTTATTTTCTTATCTATTAACAATCAGGTAAAATAGTTGAAGCAAAAATCATATGTTTAGGCAGACTTTCAGACATTCTAATACTAAACTGCTATCAATGTCAGTTTCAGAAAATTTAAGCATAGTTAACTTACTATCTTATAGTTTCTAATGAGTCATATCAAGCATTACACTTATGATATTTATTCAATATACAGTATAACCCAGTATCTTCACCAACTTTAATATCATTAGGTAAATTAATACCAATAATTAGTCTTTGTAGTTCTTTTAAATGAGATAATTTTTGAATGTCCAGATGAGGAAAGCTTTTAAATGAACATTGTTAGTTAAGAAGGTATCAATACAATTGCTAAGGATCAGCAAACCTGATGTATAATAAGCACCATGTGACAGCAAAAGGAATAAAGCTCCAGTGCACAATTCAAGATGTTATGGTTGGATCAGGGAAATCTAGAATTAGAATAAGAAAGCATTTAGAAATCCAATCATAAAGACACTGATGCAGCAAAGTCATACCATTTGTGAGTTTTAAACCTCTCCGCAATACATCTAGCCAAGTGAGATCATGAGTCTTACTAAGGAGACCACCAGGCTGCACTCCATTTGGCCATGGGATCTTGCGACTCAAAGATAGGGGATAAGTGTCTTTGCCATCAGTCCCACACCAGTTGAAATCAATCAGCATTGAGTGCTGAGCTCCATTTGTAGTATATACCAGAATGTTTGGATTGCGGAGATCTGCAAATACATATTGTTCATTGTGAAGCAAGGTGACAGCCTGCAACACATCATTGTATATATTCCTTCGGGAGACCAAGTTTTGGATCTCATTAGGTTGCAGTGGCTGATGATCAATATAATCCATAATCACAACATGGAATCCTGCAAGCATCTCAACACCATCTCCAAAATAAAGCAATGTAGGTGCAAGTTGATTTCTGGCACAAAGGGCATGTGCAGTATTATTATACCTTTGCATAAACTTCACAACAATCAAATGTTGATCATGTGTAGTTTTTGCCTTCCATACTAGTCTTGTTGGCTCTGCTAACTGGGAAATGTATGTGAAAGGAGTCTGTGTGCCAACTGAATTTGTAAATTCTCGAAAATGTGGGAAATATCGCTGTTGTCCATCATTATTAGAATTGGCCAAGCCTCTGTAAAAGTTGTCTAATGTGGTAAATGAAAGGCGTAGTGCCTCAAGGATTCGGGCAATGTAATCAAGAGATGTGTCATCAGGGGGTGTTATATTTAGGGGGATGAAAGGTGTCAATGGTTGTATTACAGCTTTGTCAAGAAAGACAGCTCCAAGAATGCACATCCAGGGCCCAGCAATGGCAATCCCAAATGTTGGGCAGCAACAAATGTCTCTAATACTTTGGGACTACAAAAAAAAGTGATTAGAAACCTTAGTATTAGCATGTATGAACAACCTAATGTATACATACATCTCCCTGAGACCAATAGCCACGATAGGATATGGACATTTGAAGAGTTGGGTCACTACCACCAGTCCCAATTTCATTTTTACACTCCAGTATCATCCGGTAAGCCACCTGATTGCCAACATCAGTGACCAAGACACCATTGCTTGCAGCATAGTTCTTGCCAAATGTTGATTCACCAAAGTGACCCCATATCTTTTCAAGAGGTTCCTCAATTGCCTCAAGGCGAGTGGCTTCATCAGTGTAGAAGTCAGCAGAATTCCAGAGAAAGTCTTCAG